CCATCTTGTTTTTTCTCAGTAATTCTATGTTTAATATTTTTTTGAGAAACAGCCATATTTTCCACGTGGCTATACCATTTTACAGTCCCACCAACAGTGTACAAGGGTTCCAGTTTCTCCACATTCTTGCCAGTACTTGTATTTTCTGCTTTTTTTTGATAGATGCCATCTAAGGAGAGTGGGTGGGATCGCGTAGTTTTGATTTGCATGTCCCTAATGTCGAATGTTGCGCATGTGCTGTTTGTGCATTTTCTTTGGAGAAATGACTGTTCCAGCCCTTTGCCCATTTTGAGTCGGGTTTTTGTTGTTGTTGTTGAGTTTTAGACATTCTCTCTCTATAGTCTGGATATTAATTCCTTCTCAGATATCTGATTTGCATATATTTTCTCCCATTCTGTGGGTTGCCTTTTTATTTTGCGAATAGTATCTCTTGGTGCACAAACATTTAAAATTTTCATGAAGTTCAATTTGCCTTTTCTTTCTTTTTTTGTTTTGTTTTCGTTGCCTGTGCCTTTGGTGTCATAGCCACCCTATATTTTCTTCTAAGAGTTTTATAATAAAGCTTTAGGTTTCACATTTAGGTCTTTGATCCATTTTGACTTAAGTTTTGTATTTTGTGTTAGATAAGGATCCGACTTTATTCTTTTGTTTGTGGCTATCCAGTTTTCCTGGTACAAACGGTATACTTTTAAAATATTACATGTCTAACTGTTGCTTGAATAGACGATGTAGTTGGTTTCTGTATGTAACTAGATCTCATATGCATACTTTTTGATAAAATTTCTCATTAATTCTAATTTGTCTGTAGACTCTTCCAGATTTTCTTGCAATCATAAGAACTGCAAATACTGACAGTTCTGTTTCTTCTTTATTTCTCACTCCTTTCCCCCTTGTCTTTCTGAATAGCACTGGTTGGGAACTCTCGTACTGTGTTAAATGGAAGTAGTAATAGCTGGAATTCTTGTTACATTTTCCTGATTTTAAAAGGAATGCTTCTAACATTAAACACTGAGAATGACACTGACTATAGTTTTTGGTAGAAATGTTTTATCAGATTAACAAAGTTCCTTCAGTTTTAGGTTGCTAGGACATTTTATTTTAAATGGGCATTAAACTTACCAAATCCTTTTTTCTGTCTTATTGTCATATTTTTCCCCCCATACCTTGTTAATGAGGCAAGTGACATTTAGCTTTTCTAGTGTTAAAGTAACCTTCGAGTCCTGAGATAAGTTCAACTTGGCCATGTTGCATTAGGTTTTTTATGTATTGCTGGATTCAGTATAATTATAATATCGTTCAAGATTTTAAAGCTGTATTTCTGAGTGGGATTGTACTGTCTTTGTTTGGTTTCTGATATCAAAATTCCATTAGGCTTATAAAATGCATTGAAGTTTCTTTTCTTTTTTCCTTATCATGGAAATAAATGTCTCCTTGAAAGTCTGATGGAATTCATCTGTAAAACAATCTCTTTCTGTTCTTTTCTCTATGAAAAATTTAAACTTTTAATTCAACGTATTTAAAGGAGTAAAGGATTATTGAAGCTCTCTATTTCTTTTTTGAGCCACTTTTAGTAAGTTAATTTTTTTTCTAGGAATTTGTCCATTTCATTCAAGTTTTCAAATTCATTGACATGTAGTTCTTCATCATGTTCTCTTTGTGGTCTCCCTCCTTAAATTTTCACCGCAGTGCGTGGTAGCTGTTATCAACCCTTCATGTTACAAACAAGGAAACAGAAGCTCAAAGAGGCAAAGTCACTTGTCCAGGTCAAAGAGCCAGGAAGTGGCATACCCAGGATTTAAATGCAGGCCTTTCTGAGTTGCAAACTTCTGTTTCTACTGTATCCTGCTAGGCCTTGAGCAATGGGTATGATTCGGACAGGCGGAGATGGGGAAGAAAGGGCGTTCGTGGATGAGGAACAGCACGTGCAAGTGCACGGGGGTGGGCATGTAATCTTTATGGAAAGCCCGGAGAGGTCTGATCAGGCTGAAAACTCCAGTGGGTGTTGGGGAGAGTGGGAGGGCAGGGTGATGGGGGTGCACATCTTGCTGCTGTGTCCTATTGAGAGACCCAGAGGTAGGAAACCCGGGTCTGCTCCCAAGGAACTCACTGACAGGCTGTGGAGACAAGGCCGAGCCAGGGAAGTCAGCACCAGGCTAATCGCCAGGTGGGTGGTGGGGACTGCTGGTGCTGCCAGGGTTTTGAGAAGATACACCTTTGGGCAGGGGTGGCCAGGTTTTTGGCTGAGATGGGTAAGATTTGACTGATGGTGAGGAGGGAATGGGCACTGAAGGTGGGATGCAGGACCTGGGTGAAGAGGTGACAGCAGGGGAACTCAAGGAATTTTCTGGAGACCGGAGCTGAGCCTCAGCGCCTTCTCTCTATTTCTCCAGGCCCCACCCTGTTCTAGCCTCCACTTTCTTCTTTCCTTTCCCAAACAGTGTAGGCCAGATCTGGGGGGTTTAGAACAGAAAGGCATGTTGATTTGGATGCATCCTCAGGGTGCACATTTTAAAATCGGGACTTCTCGTGCTGAGCACATGGTGGCAGGCGGGCTGTGAGTGTTCCCAAGGTGTTGGGATGTGTCCCTGTTGTCTCTGAAATCCTGCCTATGAGAACCCTCAGAGCCTCTGGGCCTGGCCATTCAGCAGTTGTGATCCGTGCCTCCTTGTGAGGCTGCGTCAGGCTGCCCAACTTTCAGGGTCTCTGGGATGAGCTGCTGGATTCCCCATCACCTCCTTTACCCTTTTCTGTACTGGGAGAGCCCTCTATAGAGCTGTCGGCATGGTTTCCACAAAGAGCACTAGGAATCCTCCCCCGCCCCCCTCCCGTCTTGGAGTTCTTTGAACCAGCAGAAATCCTTTGTTTGGAAAGCTTTGCACTTGTGTGTTTGCTGTAGTGCAGTTTAGAATTGTCAGGTCCTGGACCGAGATCCTACAGCGGAGAGGGACTAAGACAGGAAGGCCTCCTCTTGTCAGCCAGCTGCCGCCGCTCTCTGAGACTCAAGGGTTCTTCCCTTTTCTGGAAACTACTCCTAAGTCAATAGCTGCCATCTGCAGGTGCTCATTATGTGCCCGGCACGGGGCTGCGTGCTTCATGCACATTCTCTTATTTAATATTTACATCATCAGGTTGGAGAGTAACAGGTTTTTGTTTTTTCATTTGACACGTGAAAATGACAAATTGGAGAGAGTAACATCCCCAAGGTCACCTGCAGAGCTGGGATTTGATCTGAGGCCTGACTCCAGAGCCTGTCTCTTAATCGCCACATTACCCTGTGTTCCCTGAGGGCGTTTCATGAAACAAAAAAGCTCCCGCGGTGCAGGCCGGTGGTGAAACATTGCTATTTCCGCCCATCTCTTGGAGATTTAAAATGCACACTATTATGTTGGAAGCCCTAAACAGGTCTTACAGGAAAAAAACCTGCTTATTATTTTTAAACCAGAATTTCAAAGATTTCCTTAAAACGTAGAACCCCTCTTTGTCCTCCTCCTCCTCCTCTTTTTAATGGAATACCACTTAGTCATGTGACATGACTAGTATTTTCTGGAACACACTTTGGCAACGACTGCATTAGGCAAGTCTCTCATCTTTGGACTTCAGTTTCCTCATCTGTAAAATTAAGGGTTTGGGCGTAACGGGCACTCGACTTGCTCTCCGGCTGTAAGCAACTAGAAATCTGGACAAAAGATGTGAAGCAATTGTTTTCAGACATCGAATGGCAGCAGCTCAGGACTTTGATTCTTGAGAGAAGAGAAACGGATAAGCCCTGCCTTGGAATTGCCTTTCTGCTTGGAGCCCCTAAAGCCAGTTTTCACACCCAGCCCAGGAAGGGGGGCCCAAGCAGGGCCCGGCAGTCTTCTGATTTGAAGGGACAGGGACTGGAGTTTGGGGAAGTCGGGGTGTGCAGGGTGTGCCTGGTGCTCATTCATTCTATCAGTGAGTCATGAGTAGGAATTAGAGGCCAGGCACCATTTGGCTGAGATCTGAAGGATGAGTGTGAGTTCACCAGGCAAAAACAGGAGGGGAAGGGTGTTGGAAGCAGAGGGAACAGCATGTGTGAAGGCAGAGGGAAAGGTGGGGGCTGGCATGTAGGCCCCACTGGAATTCCCCACTCTCCCCTGCCAGCTCAGACCTGGGCAGAGAGTAGCTGTGAGAAATTCGGGGGGCTGGCCTAGAGTCCCCCACCTCTTACCCAGGACAGGAGGGGAAAGAGTGTTAAGTAAGTGTGTGGGAGTGAGTGTCTGAAGGTGGGAGGACTGAGTGGGCTGTTTTCTCAATCCCAGGACCTGATCTCAGGGACCAGGTGGGACATCCTTGGAGGGACGGACCGGAAGAGCCAGGGAGTGGGTTGGTTAGTGGGGAGGGTACAATTTTATTGGGGGGCACTGTGAACCTCTCTACCCATTCCCTGATTGGCTGAGGCTGCTGCACAGACTGACAATAGAAATGCTTGCACAGGGAAAATGTCTCTATTCAGGTGCCTTGCGTTAATCTGCAGAGGGGGTGGCCTCAGCCGCTAATTTTGGGATTTGCTTATCTTTGAGTTTTGGGATTTGCTTTTCTTTGAATGGGGGTAATTGCTGGGAGTTGCCAGAGTTCCAGATTGTTCCCTGAAAGAGCGAGGAAGGACGGGGCTGTCACAGGCTCTGCTGAGTGCTGTCCCCTTCAAGGAGCATGGAGACATCACAGAGGTCTGGTCCTGGGAGGGAGCAGAGGGATGCGGTGAGGGGACCGCAGGATCATAGCAGGCAGGGCCGGGCCAGGAGGGCCCTCAGAGGTCACGTGATCTGACCTGCTCATTTTACAGATGGGAAAACCCAGATGCAGTAGGGAAGGCACTTGCCCAGGGTCACATGGGCGGGCCCAGCAAGGCGGCTTGGCTCCCAGCCATCCTCCACATTGTCCATGCTCCCTCCTTCCCTGGCTCCTCTAGTCCCTCTGGGGCTCCCCAGGCTGGGCCTGTGTGTGTCAGGAACCCCTTTCCCTTTCTCCAACTGCAGGGGACCAGCGTGGCAATGGGGTCACTGAGGCCAGCAGCCTTCTGGGGGGCTCACCGCGGCGTCCGTGTGGCCGGAAGGGCTCCCCGTATCACACGGGGCAGCTGCATCCTGCGGTGCGTGTGGCCGACCTCCTGCAGCACATCAACCAGATGAAGACGGCCGAGGGCTATGGCTTCAAGCAGGAGTACGAGGTGCAGGGCCCCAGGCCAGCCAGGGCCCCTCAGCAGGGCCTCGCCTGGTTCCTCCCTGTGCACCCTGGCCTTGCTGACCCTCAGCCCCCTCCCAAGGGACTCTTGCTCTGACAGTCCCCAACTTAATTTAATTTCTTTTACTTGACCTTGAGTCTCAGACTTAATCTGATTTCTCACTTGTATCCTAACCCTGACTTGATATCTGACCTTGAATCTTATCTTCATTTCCATTCTGATCAAGCTCCTCATCCAATTCCTAACAGGAACCTGACCACCAACACTGACCCTGACCTCAAACCCCCAGTCTGACTGTGACCCTGACTGTCATCCTAAGCTCCATTTAACTCTAATTTGAATCCCATCCTCCCTCTCTCTAGACCAGCGGTTCTCAACCTGTGGGTCGCGACCCCTTTGGGGCTCGAACGACCCTTTCACAGGGGTCGCCTAAGACCATCGGAAAACACATCTATAATTACATATTGTTTTTGTGATTAATCACTATGCTTTAATTATGTTCAATTTATAACAATGAAATTGGGGGTCACCACAACATGAGGAACTGTATTAAAGGGTCGCGGCATTAGGAAGGTTGAGAACCACTGCTCTAGACTCTGACACCACCCTTTTCCTAATCTTAATTTGACCCTTACTTTTACCTCATTTCCCAACTCAAACCTGGATTTAACCTAAACCTGATTCTTATCTTAAAAAGTCTCTGAATTCTCGTTTTTCCCCCTTTTCTCACTCTCTCCTCCCCCACTGCTGCTTGGTTTTGAACCAAGCTGATAAAGGGATTTACAGTGACTTTATCTTAGGCTCCAAGTTTAACCACGAACCTGGCCCTTATCATGGTCCCACCAGCATCCCGCTGAGAGGATAGGGTTCTTAGGAGTGGAGGGCTTCTCTCCCCACTGACTTCCTCTTCCCCTTCTGGCAGAGCTTCTTTGAAGGCTGGGATGCCACAAAGAAGAAAGACAAGGTCAAGGGCAGCCGGCAGGAG